TCGGGGACCCGCTGCTCGAATTCCACCCGGATCCGGACCACGGCGCGTTCCGAACCCAGTTGTTTCAGGGCCACGATCTGCTCGCCGTTCACTTTCCGCCGGCGGTAGGCCCAGCCGGCCTGCGAAATGTCCCAGTCGGCGGTGTCGCGGTACCGATCAACGATTTCCTGGGGATCAAGCGCTCGGGCGCGGTACCCCAGCTCCGAGAGGACCGGAATCAATCTGCCCAGGTCCCCGGGGGCCAGGAACTTGGCCTCAATTTCGCGCATCGAAGGTCCGTCCGGACCCGCGAGCCTAGCGTTCCGGCCGCCCGGCGGTGAAAGTCGTCATCAGGGTGCGCCGGCCCCCACCACCGGACCCGAAAGCGACCTGGAGCCGGGCCATCCGCGCGGCCAGCGCGGCGGGGACGGCACTCTCGCGGCAGGACTCGTGGTCGGCGCCTCCTCCGTGGCCTCCGACCCGGAGGGGGTCACCTGAGATCCCCGGTCGCTCGTCAGCGTCCGCCGGCGAGTATCCGGGCTACGATCCGGCGGCGGGTCCGGCAGCACGAGAGTCGGTGTCACCGCGTCCTCGCCGCAGCCGTGGGCAAGGATCAACACGGCCGTGAGCAGGGCGAAGCTGGTCAGACCGGAATTCGTCGGCCTCGGAATGGTCATGAGGAGTCCCCTTTTCGTGCTCCCTTTCCGGTACCGGAGCATCAGAAAGAATCAGGAGGGCGGTGAGGGAGCACGGTGGTCTCCCGAGTGACCTCGAAGTGAATGAGAACGTCGTACCACTCCGTAAGCGGGACGGGGCGCCAGTAACGGTCAGGCATGGAAGGCCGGTAACAGCAGCCAATGGAGCGGAATAGGCGCTCCCCCACGAGCCAGGAACTTCCCAGGACACTCGTGTCACGGTTGCGGAGGTCGAGAACGAATCTGGGGGCAGCGCCACGCGCAAGTGAGGCCTCGAAAGAACCCGGCATCGGCGGGTCGAGATCGAACGCCGGAATACCACGGTAAGTCGTCGCCTCCAAGTCCACTCCCGTAAACCGACCGCCTTCGTGGCTGAACCCCACGACCACCATGTCATCGCCAAACGTCTCGCGCAGGTAGGAACCCTGGGCGCCCGGCTGGGTGGAAACGTGGTAGTTGTGGGCCCAGAGCACCATCCCTCCCTCTGGCCCGATTCGACGGCTGATCCACTCGGTGTTTTCCGCCATGGACTCGTCCCGGCCCTGTTCGCGCGCCGCGCTCAGGTGGAACTGCACGGCGACCCGCAGGCTCTGTAACGCCACCTCGAAGGCATCTTCGCCGGCCGCAGCCTCGTATTCTTCACGCTTCGAAAGCAAGGAATCACGAGCCTCTTCGAGCGACGCGATACACGTCGTCCGGTAGGAATCCGACTCGTCTGAGTAGCGCGGCTGCGGGCTCCGTCCGTTGGGGCCGTTCGCGAATCTCTGGAGGCATTCGAGTTGCTCGGAAACAGCCTCCAGGGCCTCGGGATCCACACTGCGCATGTACTCGCGGACGTTGTGCAGCGCCATCCCCGGGTACTGCATGTCAAAACCGTGAAACCCCACATCGCCTCCAGCCTGGTTGTGCTCCCGCATCCATTCGATCATCTCCAGCACGGATTCGGTGTTCCAGGTCCAGAAATAGAGGCCCGAGAGCAGTCTTTCCGGGTCGCCCTCGCCCGTCCGCACGTAGTGGTCGATACGCCGGGCTTCCGGCCAGGTCGCCTCGATGGCGAACGTGTTAAAGCCCATCTCTTCGACCAGGAACCGGAGGATGCGCGCCTTCATTTCAAAGAAGTCGCGGGCGCCATGTGTGTTCTCGCCAAGCGCCACAATGCGGGCATCGCCCACGAACTCGCGGAGAAACTCGAGTTCCGTGTGTGGAAGGGAGAGGTGCGGGCCCGTGAAGGGATGCGCGTTCGCCGCCAGCCACACCCAGGACGGGGTCTGGAGGTGGTTCCGGCAGGACAGGGGCGGGTGTCACCGGATCCTCACCGCACCCAAGAGCCAGAATCAGGGCGGTTGCGGCCAACGCCAGCCGGATCGAAGCCAAATGCCGCTTGGGGCGAACCAATAGTCGGGACACGGTCGTCTCCTTCCCGGGACGGGTCTGTCCGTAACGTAAGCAAGCCGTTTGCCACTTACGGATGTCACCTGGTGCGGTGCGAACGCGCTCGCGCGCTTCACGGGGGTCGGCTTCGCGCGGTTTCGCCCGCTGCGCGGGCGGTGCCCGCCCGGAGGTCGGCGTTCCAAGCGGTCCCCGCGCTTCTCCTCAGTTGGCAGCGCGCGGTTTCGCGGCCCTGCGGACCGCGGCGCCGACCTGAGGTCGGCGGCGGTCCCTGCCCTGCGCGCCATGCAGGGAGTGGCGACGGGAGTTTCGCCCCCTGCGGGGGCGATGCCGGTCTGAAGACCGGCGTTCCTAACCTGCGGGGGCGATGCCGGTCTGAAGACCCGCGTTCCCAGCCTACGGGCCGCGGTGCCGGTCTGGAGAGCGGCGTTCCTAGCGTCGGCCCGGCTTCGGGAAGTCGTGGTCGGCGTTGTCCTCGAGGAAGAGGGGCATCGGCGGGGGCGGGAGGCCCTTTTCGGCGCGGGCGGCGCGCACGGTCTCGCGCACGTCGGAGAGCAGTTTCCGGGTGTCGTACACGATGCCGTCCTTGATGGTGTAGCGGATCGTGCCGATTCGCTCGGTGCGGCCGGTTTCGTGGTTCAGCCGGATCGTTCCGGTCCCGTAGAGCACCTTCAGGTTCTGGAGGGGGTTCTCCTCGAGCACCACGAAGTCGGCAAGCTTTTCCTCTTCGATGCTCCCGAGCCGGTCATCGAGCCCGAGCACCTGGGCGCCGTTCAGGGTCGCCGCCTTGATGACTTCGAGCGGGTGGAAGCCCGCTTCCTGCATCAGTTCGAGCTCCTGAACAAAGCCGAATCCGTAGAGGTTGAAGGTGTAGCCCGAGTCGCTACCGACCGCGACGCGGCCTCCGCGGTTTTTGAACTCGTTCACGAAGGTCATCCAGAGGCGGTAGTTCTCCTTCCAGTTGAGTTCGACCTGGGTGGTCCAGTCGAAGAAGTAGGAGGCGTGGTTTTCCGCGTTCGGCCGATAGAACTCCCAGAGGTTGGGGTGGGTGTAGACGGAATGCCACTCGCTCCGCTGCTGGCGCATGAGGTCCCGGGTGGCGATGTAGGCGACCCAGGTCGGGTGGATCGAAAAGTCCAGCTCGAGGAGCTCGTTCATCACCGCGTTCCATTTCTCGGAGAAAGGAGGTGCGGCCTGGGCCCAGAGTCGTCCGGCCTCGCTGAACCGGTGGTACTCGTTGTTGTAGTTGTAGTCGACCGGGTAGTGCTGGATTACCTTGTCCACGAACATCGCCTCGGGAGGCCGTACCAGTGGGTCATGGAGGTCAGCCCGGCACGGGCGGTTTCGAGCGCGTTCATGCCCACCACGTCGAGTTGGGCGTGATGGGAGGTGGAGCGGAGCCCCTGCTTGGCCGCTTCGTCGAGCGCCGCCCGGAAGATCCGCGGCTGCGCGCCGAAGAACTTGATCCCGTCCGCCCCCTGTTCCTTCACCCACTGCACCCAGCGGCGGGCGGCGTCGGGGTTCGTCACCGGTTCCTCGCCGTCCCGCCCGAAGACCACGAACGCCTGGATGCGCGGGGAGGTGATTTCGTTGTTCCACGCCCGGTTCTTGTGATGGATGAGCCAGCGGGTGTTGAAGTTGCCGAGGTCGCCGCCGGCGGTGATCCCGTGGCCCATCCAGAGTTTGTGGATGTACTCGGTGGGGACCCCCTGCCCGGCGCCCGCGTTGTGCTGATGCAGGTGCATGTCGATGAATCCGGGCAGGATGTAGTGGCCTGTCAGATCGATCTCGTGATCACCCGGCTCCGCCTTCGGACGATCCTCTTCGCGGATCGGAGTCACCCCGGTGCCGACGTTGTGGATCGAGTGGATGATGTTGCCCTCGACGATGATGTCCACGGGGCCGTACGGCGGCGCTCCGGTGCCGTCGATCACGATCGGCCCGCGCAGGATCAGTCGGTCCCAGGGCCCTTCCCCGTCGGTGCGGTCGGGCACCGGGAAGGGAAGGTCTTCCTGGGCGGCCAGTGGCGCGGCCACCGCGCAGGCGACGAGCAGAGCCAGAAGCAGACTTGACAGGCGGTTTCGAAACATTCGGTAGGTGCCCTCCGGAAGCCGGTCAGTATCCCATACGAGGGGGTTTCCGCGCCGACTGCTCAGGCGGCGAGGCGATCGATCCGTAGCCGGTGCCGCTCGTCAAAAAGCCTCCGGGACACCACCCGCACCGCGGCCAGCACCCCGAAACCGGTCCCCGCGGCGATGAGCAGCAGGATCAGGATCTGGTACCGGACGGCCTGGTCCACCGGGGCGCCGGCGAGGATCTGGCCGGTCATCATCCCGGGAAGGCTCACCACTCCGGCAGCCGCCATCGCATTGAAGATCGGGATCAGCCAGGCCCGGACGCTCTCCCGGGAAATGTCGGACACCGCCTGCTCGCGGGTTTCCCCGAGGGCGAGGCGCTGTTCGATCACGTCGCGGCTCCGGACCACCGCTTCGGTCAGCCGCTCGGTGGAGAGCGAAACCCCGTTCATGGTGTTTCCGAGCAGCATGCCGAGGAGCGGGATGGAAAACCGGGGCGCCCACCAGGGATCGGGCCCAAGCACCACCGCGAGCGCGAACACCGTGAAGAGGAAGGACGAAAGGAACATCGCGAGGGCTCCCGCGAAGTAGCCCCAACGTCCGGCCAGCGGGCGCGCCTGGCGGACCTTCACCTCGCGCGTCGCAACCGCCAGCATGAACAGCGCCATCAGTCCGACGATCACGGGATGACTCGTTCCGAGTACGAAACGCAGCACGAGCCCCAGGAGCAGAAGCTGGGCGGACCCGCGGGCGGCGAGCCAGAGCAGTTGGCGGGAGGCGCCGAGTCCCGCCATCCGGTTCGCGACGGCGAGCGCAACCACCGCGCCTCCCGCCGCGACGAGATCCCAGTAGCTCAGGGGAATCACGAAGAGCTCTCCTGGGCGACCGGCCTCTGGATGGAGGGCGAGCGCACCTTCCCTTCCGGAAGAACCAGCACCCGGTCCGCGGCGGCGACCACCTCCGCGAGATGGGAAACCCACAGTACGGGCGCCCCGTGCTCTCTCCGGTAGCGGTCGATCCTCCCGATGACGAGCTTCCGGTTGTCCTGATCGAGGTTGGCCGTGGGCTCGTCGAGGAGAAGGACTTCGGGAGCGCGCAGCAGGAGTCGCAGGAGCGCCAGCCGGGATCGTTCGCCGGTGGACAGCAGCATGGGGTCGGCGCTTCGAATCTTGGGGTCAAGCCGGAGGGCGGCGAACTCCTCCCCCAGCGCGTTCGCCTCGGCCGGGAAGTGCGCACCGACCGTGCCGTGCCAGAAGCGCGGTTCGGCGGGGAGCAGTCCCACCTGCCGGCGCCACTCGGGCGCCGGTATCGCTTCGCACGACTTTCCCGACCACGAGAGCTCTCCCCCGTGCGGATCAAGGTCGGCGAGGGCCCGGAGCAGGAGGGTCTTGCCCGACCCGGAGGGACCCGAAATCGCGAGGACGCCGGCCGGCGGCACCTCGAAGGCGAGCGGCGGCAGGTTGGGGATGGACAGATCGCGGACAGCGAACACCGGGGTATCTTCGCGGTTCGCTTCGTGGTCGTGCCTGAGGTGAGCATCGCGCGTTTCGCCCGGCACCCACCCCGGCCTGCATGAAAAAGGCACGGCCCCGGGTAGGGGAAGCGGTGAGCGGTCGCGGCATCCGGTGCTGGGAGTGGAGCTTGCCCCTGTTGTCGGACCATGGGGAATGGCCGAAACGCCGCCTGGACGCGTAAGTTGCGTCGCGCCATCCTCCTTGTCCGCAGCGACATGCGGGGCATGGCTTGGGGGAGTTTCGTCCACCTCCGGCGGACGATGCTGGCCAGTTCTCCCGGTGGGGGCCTGAAGACCGGCGCTTCTGCCTACCGGCCGCGGCGGAGGGCGCGGCCGGGACGGGCGCCGGTGACCTCCCCGTCTCGAGGACCAAGACCCCGGAGACCAGCACGTGGTGCACGCCGGTGGCGTACCGGTGCGGATCGCCGAATCCGGCCGGCGCCTCGACCGCTTCCGGGTCGAGCACCGCAATGTCCGCAACCGTCCCTTCCTCCAGCACCCCCCGATCGGTCATCCCGAGCCGGCCGGCCGGGAGCGAAGTCATCTTGCGGACCGCCTCGGCGAAGGAAAGCAGGCCGGCCTCGCGGACATAGAGCGAAAACACCCGGGCGAAGGTCCCGTAGTTCCGCGGATGCGGCACCCCTTCGCCGGGCGCCACGATGCCGCCGTCGGAGGCGATCATGGTCCGCGGATGGAGCATGATGCGTCGGACATCGTCCTCGTGCATCGCGTGGAAGACGCCGAGGAACCCGCCTTTTTCCTGGAGTTCGAGGGCGAGCGTCGCCCCCGCGTCGGTGGTGGCGGCGAGACCCCGTTCGCGAAGGATGTCGCCGAGGCTCTTGCCTTCGAGCGAAGGATCCCACTCGCAATCGGCGATGACGACGTTGTCGGGGCTGCCGCCGCCGCGATCCACTTCGAGGTTCTCGCGGACCGCCAACCGGATCCGCTCCCGGTCCCCGGGGTCCCCGTGGTCCCCGAGACGCCCGGCGAGAGCTTCGGCGCCGCCGGCGAGGCTCCAGGCCGGAAACAGGATCGTGAGAAAAGTGGACGAGGCGGTGTAGGGATATTGGTCGATCGTCACATCCACCCCGCGGGCCACCGCTTCGTCCACGAGGGCGAGGCTCGCCTCGCTCTGACCCCACATCGGGGCGCCGACCACCTTGTGATGGGTGAGTTGGGTGGGGAGGCCTCCCTCCTCGCCGATGCGGATCGTCTCGCGCACCGCGTCGAGCAGCGCCAGCCCCTCCTCGCGCAGGTGGCTGATGTGAACGCCCCCGTAGCCCGCGGCCACCCGGGCGAGGGCGATGACCTCCTCGGTCTCGGCGAAGGCGCCGGGAAGCAATTTGAGCCCGGTGGAAAGACCGAACGCCCCCTCGCGCATCGCGGCGTCCACCAGGTCGCGCATGGCGTCGAGTTCGGCTTCGGTCGGCGCCCGGTCCTCCATTCCCACGACTTCGCGGCGCACGGCCCCGTGCCCGACCAGGAGCCCCATGTTGATCGCGGAGCCCTCCGCCTCGAACCGGTCCAGCCACGCGCCGACCGGAAGCGGCGAGCCGCCATCCGGGCCGCCGACCGCGGTGGTCACCCCCTGCCGGAGGTAGTTCTCGCGCAAGCGGGTGGCGGAAGACACCGAGGACCGCGTGGCTGTGGATATCCACCAGGCCGGGGACCACCGCGAACCCGGAGACCTCGGTGCGCTGTCCGGCGCTTGCCGCGGACAGGTCCCCGATCGCGGCGATGCGGTCGGCGTTGATGCCGATATCCGCGACCTGCGGCGGGTTCCCGCGCCCGTCGTACACCTCGCCGCCCACCAGAATCCGGTCGTAGCGGTCCCCGCAGCCGCTGGCGGTAAAGAGGAGAGCGGCGAAGGTGAATTTCGTTTTTCGAAGCACGAAAGAGCCCCTCGGGCGCCTGCGGCCGGCGCCGGGATCATGGCCGATCCCGAGGGGCCGGGCGAGCGCTCTTGAACCGTACACTCGCCGGGTGGCGCAGCTCAGCGGAGGGACCCGGCCCAATACCGTCACCCTGGGACGATGTGCGGTGGCCGGGATCCTCGGCGGCCTCGCGAGTCTCGTACCGGGGGTGAGCGCCGGAACGATGATTCTGGCCGCCGGGGTCTACCCGGAGCTCGTAGGCGCGGTCGCCGAGATCACTTCGGGACGGCTGCGGCGCGCCCCGGTGGCGCGGCTCCTGGTGACCGTCGGATCGGCTCTGCTGGCCGTCTTCGGCGTCGCCGGTGCGGCTCGCGACGCCTTCACCGCGTGGCCGGTCGCGTTCTTCGCGCTGTTCCTCGGCCTCACGCTCGGGGGCGCCCCGCTGCTTTGGCGCATGGCGTCAACTCCCGGCCGGACCTTTGGGGTGGGATCGGTCGCGGGGGCGCTGGCGGTAGTGCTTCCGATCGTGCTGGTCAGCCGGGGAGGGCCGGAGGCGTCCGCACTCGCGGCGTCGGCGCCCGCTTTCTTCGGTGCCGGAGCGGTGGCCGCCTTCGCCATGGTGCTGCCCGGGATCAGCGGCAGCACCCTGCTGCTGTTGATGGGGATGTACCTGCCGTTTCTGAACGCGGCGGACCGGCTGGCAGACACCCTCGGATCGCGGCCCTGGGATGGTTCGGCGATTCTCGCGGCCATTTCCGGCGTCCTCCCCTTCTTCTTCGGCATCGCGCTCGGCATCGCCGTCGCCGCGCGCCTCGTGCGATACTTTCTGGGCGCCCATCGGCAGGTGACTCTCGGCGTGCTCTTCGGGCTCCTGCTGGGAGCCTCGGCGGGGCTCTGGCCCTTCCAGACCATGAACGGCGTCCATTTCGCACCGACGGGCGCCCAGATCGTCACCGCCGGCCTGGCCCTCGCCGGGGGGTTCCTGTTGACCGCCTTCCTCGGCGGCGGAGTCCGAAAAACCGGCCGCTGATCCACGAAAAGCTCTTCCCAAAGGACCCGGAATCCGTGCCCCAAGCCCCCGCTGCCACCCGGACCTTCCTGAACACCGGACTACCGCTGTTCGGGAACGTTCCTCATCGCGTCGCCGATCTCTCCCCGGAAACCATCGCCTTCGGGCGGCGCGAAATCGAACTTGCGGAGCATGAGATGCCGGGTTTGATGGCGATTCGGGAGCGCCACGCGGCGGACCGGCCGCTCGCCGGCGCCCGGATCACCGGATCGCTCCACATGACGATCCAGACCGCGGTGCTCATCGAAACGCTGCTGGATCTCGGCGCGGAAGTGCGTTGGGCGAGCTGCAACATCTATTCGACCCAGGACCACGCCGCCGCCGCCGTGGTGGCGGGACGCGGCGGAGACGCCAAAGACCTCCGGGGACCAGCGGTCTTCGCCTGGAAGGGCGAGACGCTCACCGAGTACTGGTGGTGCACGGCGCAGGCCTTCGACTGGCCGGACGGGCGCGGCCCCAACCTCATCCTCGACGACGGCGGCGACGCCACCCTGCTCGTGCACAAGGGCGTGGAATGCGAGCGCGCGGGAGCCGTTCCGGCGCCGGAATCGGCGGAGAACGAGGAACTGGCGGTCATCTGTTCGCTCCTCGCGGCCGCCACCGAAGAACGGCCGGGCTGGTTCGGAGCGCTCGCCGCCGGCATTGTGGGCGTCACCGAGGAAACCACCACCGGAGTGACCGGCTGGCCCGCAGGTACCGCGAGGGATCGCTGCTGTTTCCCGCGATCAACGTCAACGACTCGGTCACGAAGAGCAAGTTCGACAACGTCTACGGAATCCGGCATTCGCTGGTGGACGGCATCATGCGGGGCACCGACGTCATGCTCAGCGGGAAGCTCGCGGTGGTGCTCGGCTACGGCGAGGTGGGTAAGGGCGCGGCGCAGTCGCTCGCCGGACAGAAGTGCCGGATCGTCGTCACCGAAGTGGACCCCATCTGCGCGCTTCAGGCGCTCATGGACGGGTATCAGGTGGTCCGGCTGGAAGACGTGGTCGACGAGGCCGACATCTTCGTCACCACCACCGGAAACGTCCGCGTGATCGGCGTGGAGCACATGCGGCGCATGAAGCGAAACGCCATCGTCGGGAACGTCGGCCACTTCGACAACGAGATCGACATGGCGGGACTCGCCGCGGAACCGGGTATCCGGCGCCAGAACATCAAGCCCCAGGTGGACGCCTGGATCTTCGCCGACGGACGGCAGATCCTGGTGCTTTCGGAGGGACGGCTGCTCAACCTCGGGAACGCGACCGGCCATCCCAGCTTCGTGATGAGTTCGAGCTTTGCGAACCAGGTGCTCGCGCAACTGGAACTGCACCAGCGGCGGGAGGACTACGCCCTCGGGGTCCACGTACTGCCGAAGCATCTCGACGAGGAAGTCGCCCGTCTGCATCTCGACAAGCTCGGAGCGCGGCTCACCCGCCTGACGCCGGAGCAGAGCGACTACATCGACGTCCCGGTCGACGGGCCCTACAAACCGGATACGTACCGGTACTGACGGCCTGATGGACGACGGGACGGAGCGGCCGGGGGGCCCCGAACGGCCGGGGGGCCCGGAGCCGGCCCGTTCGGGAGATCCGCGGGCGGCCGCGCTGGTCGTCCTCTCTTCCGTAGTCATTCTCGGTGCCGTCTGCGGCGTCGTCTGGCTCCTCTACCGGTTCGTTTCCGCGTTCTCCCACGTGCTGCTCCCCCTCGCGGTGGGCGGTCTGGCCGCGCTGGTCTTCAAGCCGTGGTTCCACGCCTTCCGGACCCGGCTGCGGCTGCCCGCCTGGGCGGCGCTCATCGCGGTGTACGTGTCGGTGGCGGCGGTCCTCGCCGGCTTCGCGCTCGTGTTCGGGCGCCTGCTCGCGACCCAGCTTGGCGATCTGGCGCAACGGGCGCCGACCTTTCTCGAAAACGCCTACGCCTGGGTGGTCGCCGAGACCCCGGCGTTCGTGGACTTTTTCGAAAACCACCCGGTGGGACAGCAGATCCGGGACTTCGGGCTGAGCCAGCAGGCGTCCTTGCTCCAGGGGCTCGCCCTGGTCGGGGAACAGGCGGTGGCGGCGAGCGCCGGAATCGTGCGCGGAGTCGGCACGCTGCTCTCCTGGGCGGTCCTGCCGCTCTATTTCGGGTTCTTCCTCCTGTGGGAGCCCCCACCCACCGACACGGCCCGGATGCTGCCGTTCCTGAAACCGCGCACCCGGGACAGCGTGGTCCGGCTCACCAGGGATTTCGTGCAAATCCTGATCGTGTTCTTCCGGGCCCAGCTCGTGGTGGCGTTCCTCCAGGGGCTGCTGGTGGCGATCGGGTTCACCGCGATCGGCCTCGACTACGGTTTCGTGATCGGACTCGGGCTCGGCTTGCTGACCATCATTCCCTACCTCGGCACCGCCGTCGGGTTCTTCGTAGCGGTGCCGCTCGCGTGGATCCAACCGGACGGCGGGCTCGTGCTCGCGGCTCTGACCGCCGGTGTCCTGATCGCCGTGCAGTTGATCGAAGGCTGGGTGCTCACCCCCAAGATCATGGGTGACCAGACCGGTCTCCACTGGATGGCGATCATCGTCGCGGTCCTCTTCTGGGGCAGCGCGCTCGGCGGACTCACCGGGACCCTGCTGGCGATCCCGCTGACGGCGTTCGGGGCGTCGGCGTGGCGCCTGCTCCGCGAGCGCTACATCGTCGAAGTCGTCTGAGGGGAGCCGCGCCGCCGGTCTGGCAGCGTGCGTTCTCGCGTCCCTGCGGGCGCGGATGCCGTCAGTCTGCGTTGTGTTAGAGCAGTCTCACAGTCGCACCGCATGCGATGGCGCCTGGCCGGTCAGGGAACGCCGACCTCCGGTCGGCACAGCCCGCCGGAGGCGGGCGGAGTCGCGTATCGCCACACACCGGAGGTTCCCGTCTCGGCCTGTCACATCCAGAGGGTGGCGTTCCACGTGCCCGGCCGCGGTCGCTGTCCGTCAGTCAGCATGCGCCACTCGCCCCGCTTCGCGGCGGTGCGGTGCCGACGGAGGCTCGGCTTCCCTTGCCTGCGCGTCGCTTCCGCCCGCTGGTGGCAGGTGCGCCATGCGCCACGTTCACCGCGTCCGCGTGGCCCCTTCGTGCGACTCGGCGAGCCCTCTCCGAGGTTGAGAAATACGGGCTAACCGGGTGCTAGCCGAGACCTCTCCGAGGGCGGCCGCCACCGCGTCGGCGATCTGCTCGAGATCGGCGGAAGTGGAGCAGACCGGCGGGGCGCAGACGAAGACGTCGCCCCGCACCCGGCTGAAGACACCGTGATCGTCGATCGCCTTCAGGAGTCGCGGTCCCACTTTCTCGGATGCCGGGAAGAGTTCCCGGGTCTCGCGGTCGGCCACCACCTCGACCCCGGCGATGAGACCCTTCCCGCGAACTTCACCCACGTGAGGGTGGGCCGCCGACCGCCTGCTCGAGATTGCGGATGAGCGCGGCGCCCTTCTCCGCCGCCATTTCGACCAGTCCCTCCTCGCGGATGATGCGGAGGTTTTCGAGCGCGACGGCGCAGCACACCGGATGGGCGCTGTAGGTATAGGCGTGCATCCAGACCTGATCGGCGGAGTCCAGCGTTGCGGCCACCCGGTCGGAGAGCCCGATCCCGCCGAGCGGGATGTATCCGGAGGTGATCCCCTTGGCGAACTGCATGATGTCGGGCTCGATGCCCCAGTGGGTCAGGCCGAACATCGTGCCGGTGCGCCCGAATCCGGTGATGACCTCGTCGGAGACGAGCAGCACCTCGTAGCGGTCACAGATCTCCCGGATACGGGGGAAGTAGTCGTCGGTGGGGATGATCACCCCGCCCGCGCCCTGGATCGGCTCGGCGATGAACATCGCCACGGTGTCCGGCCCTTCTTCCAGAATCGCCGTTTCCAGTTCGTCGGCGGCGGCCTGCCCCCGGGTTTTACCCGGCGGGGGATCGTAGAAGTAGGGATACGGTGACCCGATGTGCCGAAAGCCGGGGATCCGGGGTTCGAACATGGGCCAGTACACGCTCATCCCGGTGGCGCACATCGCCGCCAGCGTCACGCCGTGGTAGCCCCAGATCCGCGAGATGACCTTGGTCTTGTCCGGCTTGCCGCGAACCTTCCAGTAGTAGCGGGCGGTCTTGATGCTGGAGTCGGTGGATTCTCCGCCGCCCGAGGTGAGGAAGAAACGGTTGATGCTCGGATAGGCGATTTCTGCCAGCGTCTCCGCCAGGGCGATGGCCCGCCGGTTGGTGCTGCCCGCATACCCCGAGGCGTAACCGAGCTCGCGCATCTGGTTCGCAGCGGCGTCGGCCAGTTCCCCCCGACCGTGCCCGATAAAGACGTTCCAGAGTCCCGAAAGGGCGTCCACGTAGTCCCGGCCGTCGGCGTCGAACAGCCGGGCCCCTTCTCCGCGGACCCAAACGTGGCCCCCGGCGGTCGCCGCGTTGCTGTGGATCGGATGGATCAGGTGCTCGGCGTCCCGCTCGAGGAGTGCTGCTTTGTTGTGTTCGGACATGCGTCCTTTCCTCCGCTTCGTTGGTGCCGGTGTTCCCGGGGAAATTCCTAGCGGCCGGCGGCCTGGTGGCCGACCGCCAGGGCCTCCGGAGAAGTCACGATAAAGACGCGGAATCCCTGTTCGATCCGCAGGGCGATGTCATCGGGACCCGCCGTGATCCCGCACGGAACGCCAGCCTCCAGGCAGGCGGCCAGCACGGTCTGGATCGCACCTTCCACCGCCTCCATGTCGCCCTCGTAAGCGCGCCGCAGGTCTCCGGGACCGGGAAACGCAACGCTCACTCCGGGCACGCTGACGATGTCGAGCGCGTTCGCCACCCCCACCTGGTCCTCGATGAGCACCATGCTCACGAGTTCTCCCCGGGGGTCGAGCGGCCAGACGTCGGCGCGCGCTGCGTAATCCTCCGGGGAGACCCCAAACACCCGCGCCGCCTCGGCGTCCGGGGCGCCCCGCAACCCGCCGGCGCGGACCGGCCGCATCGAGGCCGCCGCCTGCCGCGCCTCGTCAGCGTTCTCGACATGCGGGAAGACGATCGAATACGCCCCGGCGTCGAGCCCTGCCGCCGTTCGCTCCGCGGCTTCGTCCATCCCGTCGCGGATGGGCGGGATGCGCAACGCGATCGGATGAGGATTGGCGGCTCCACGGGAGTCGGGCGGGGACAGGGCCTCTTGATACGTTGACATGGTGGGGAGATCGAAAGGCCCGTTTTCGAGCGAATAGAACATGAAATCCGCCAACTCCAACTTCGCCATCTCCATCGCGGTTTCCGGAGTCTTTTCCCCGGAAAAGATCCCGAAGACAACCTGACCGTCGGCCAACAGCGAGGCGATCCGGTTCCACGAGGGCCCCGCTTCGCTGGCCTCCGTCATCCCGGTGGCGCCTTCCTCTTCGGGTGATTCCTCCCCTCCCTCCGGGGGGGAACAACCAGCGAGGCTCATCGCGAGCCCGAACGCGAGCCCGAACGCAAGCACGACGGGCAGCCGAGCGAAACCCGCGGGGCGCCTGGGCGCGGGAACGGTGATGGAACGGGGAACGAGTGTCTTCATGGTGTGAGCCTCCCAGCCGGCCGGTTGCTATCCTACCCGGTTGGAAGCGGCCCGCTCCGCTTTCTCCACTTCCCGGATCGCCCCCGGTTTTCAGGGATTCCGTCCCGTGAATTCCGGGGGCTCGGAGTCTGTCCCGGTAATGGCGGGAACACCGAGACCGGTGAACTACCGGGACAGGCTCCTCACCCTTTTTTCCAAGGAGGACAGGTCATGGCTACCGTCACGCTTGGCGGCACCGCGTTCGCCATTTCGGGAGATGTTCCCAAGGCTGGAGACACCGCTCCCGATTTCACGCTTACCGGCGGCGACCTCGGTGACGTTTCGCTCCGCGACTACGCCGGGCAGCGGCTGATCCTCAACATTTTCCCGAGCGTGGACACCCCCGTGTGCGCGAACTCGGTCCGGCGCTTCAACGCAGAAGCCGCCGCCCTCGAGGGGGTGAGCGTCCTGTGCGTATCGCGGGATCTCCCGTTCGCCCACGGGCGTTTCTGCGCCGCCGAGGACATCGAGGCGGTCCGCTGCGTCTCGGAGATGCGCGACAGTTCGTTCGGTAAGGCATACGGCCTCACAATCGCCGAGGGGCCGCTCGCCGGACTCCTGGCGCGGGCGATTGTCGTGGTGGGTCCGGACGGCAAGGTCGGCTATTCCCAGCTCGTTCCGGAAATCAAGGAAGAACCTGACTACGACGCCGCACTGGCAGCCTGTGGATAGAGTGGCGCGAGCGTCGAGGCCCAGTTCTCCCGGTGGGGCCAGTTCTCCCGGCGAGGCCGGTCCTCCCGGTGGGGGCCCACGCGGGACCGCTGTGCGCGGAAGCAGCGTGGTAAAATGGGGAGTCCCTTGCATCTTCCGCCGCCTCCTGACCTGAAACCGCTACCTCGCCCCAGAAATTGACGGTCGCGCAGGAGGGGGGAGCCGACCTCTCGGAGGCGGCATCCGAGGGAAAACTGTCCGAGGGAGAGTTGTCCGCAGCGGAGCCGTCCGCAGCGGAGCCGTCCGAGGAGAGAACTGTCCGCAGCGGAGCCGTCCGGAGAGGATCTGTCGGAAGCGGAGCCGTCCGGAGAGGAGCCGTCCGAGGAAGAACTGTCCGACGAGGGTGCGGACGGCGGCGGTCCGATCCCGGGCGTTTTCGAGGCGGGCAATTTGATCTTCTATCCCCAGATCGGCCACTGTCACGTCGGGGATGTGATCCAGGACGCACACAGCGGCCTGGAACTGCTGGAACTCACCCCGCAGGATTCCTCGAGCGGGAATCGCATTCTGGTTCCGGTTGGCCAATTGGGGTCTCGAAGCATCCGCCACTCCGGGGACTCCCCGGGGGTGATCGAGGGCATCCTCGGTTCGGACTTCGATCCGACCATCGACGACGCCACCGAGCGCCTGGACCGGATCACGGACCAGGAACGCGAAGGGACCGCGTCGAGCCTCGCAACCGCGTTGAAGCGCCTCCACCTGCGCCACGAGCTGAAGACCATCAGCCGGGAAGAGGAGAAGCGCCGCTCCCGTATCCGCAAGTGGCTGGTGGTGGAATACATGGTGGAGAAGCAAGGCACCAGCGGCCAGGCGCAGTCGGCCATCACCCGCCTGCTCTCCCGCACGATGAACGCGGTCCGCGAGCGCGAGAAAGAAGCCGCCCGGGAGCTCCGTAAGCAGGAACGCGCCGAGCGGAAGGCAGCCGAGGCGGAGCGCCGGGCCCGCCGCCGCGGCCGCGGTTAGTTAGCAGCCGGTCTTTCCCCCCGGTCTTTCCCCCCGGTCTTCCCCCCCGGTCTTCCGCCGGATTGGCAGCCGGAGGACGATGATGCGCCGCTCTCTCTTCGGACGGTCGCCGTCTCCGGCCCCGCCCGTTTCGCCGCCGCCGGGGCCGCGGTTAGTAACAGCCGGTCTTCCGCCCGGTCTTCCGCCGGAATAGCATCCGGAGGACGATGACGCCCCGCTCTCTCTTCGGACGGCCGCCGTCTCCGGCCCCGCCCGTTTCGCCGCCGCCGACCGAACCTCGGATCGAGACGGCAGCCGCAGCCCGGCCGGGGTCTTCCGGGGCCCCGTACTCGGTCCGGGAGATCAGCGCCCGCATCCGTGAGGTGCTCGAGGACGGATTTCCCCGGAGCTTTTGGATCGAGGGGGAACTTTCCCAGGTAAGCCGCCCGCGAAGCGGCCACCTCTACCTGTCCCTTCGCGAAGAAACAACCGTCCTCGAAGCCGTAGCGTGGGCCACCGACGCCCGGAGCTTCGCCTTCATTCCCGAACCGGGGGACCGGGTTCGCGCCTTCGGCCGGTTGCGCGTTTACGAGGGGAAGAGCCGCTACCAGTTTCAGGTCCAGCGCCTCGAGAAGGCCGGGATGGGAGCGCTGCTCCAGGAACTCCTGGAAAGGGAGGCCCGCCTCGAGCGCGAAGGCCTGTTCGATCCCGGAAGGAAACGTCCCCTCCCCTTTCTCCCGCTCCGGATCGGGCTCCTGACCGCTGCCGGAAGCGACGCCTGGGCCGACTTCACGCGAGCGGCCCGCACCCGCTTTCCCGGGGTCATGATCCGGGAACACTTCGCACCGGTACAGGGGCCAAGAGCGCCGGCGGCGCTGGCCGCCGGGATTCGTGCTCTGGGCCGCGAAGCGCTCGACGTCATCGTGGTGGCCCGGGGCGGCGGGTCGGTGGAGGATCTCCTCCCCTTCAGCGACGAGATCGTGGTGCGCGCCGCGGCCGCCTGCCCCCTGCCGCTCGTCAGCGCGATCGGCCACGAGGCGAATCGGCCGCTCCTCGACCGGGTAGCCGATCGTCGCTGCAGCACGCCCTCGGCGGCAGCTCGGGAAATCCTCCCCGAGCGGGGCGATCTGCTCCGGGAGATCGAGGATCGCCGGAGGGCGGCCGAAACCGTGGCGCGCCGGGTCCTGAGCGCGGCGCAGGATCGGGTGGCGACCTTCCTGACGCACCGGGCGACCACGGCGCTGCCCGCGTGGCTCGAGCAGGAACGACAAGGCCGGCAGCAGGATCGTTCCTTCGCGCTCGCTGCGGCGGAGCGCACGATCCAGAGCAGACAAGAGCGACTGCGAACGGCCCGTGCGCGGCTCGAACAAAACCACCCGGCCCAGAAACTCGCGGGCCAGTTCGCCCAGTTGAGCCGGCTCCGCGAGCGCCTCGCGGGATGGCCGCTGCTCCGGGATCAGGACGAGCGGCTCGAAGCCACGCGGCGCCGGATTTCCGCCGAACCCCTGCACCGGCTCCTGGAATTGGAGCGCGCCGCCCTTGCCGACCGCCGTACCCGCCGGCGCTCCTCGCTGGAGAGGTGTCTGGAGCGCCGCTCCTTCACTACCGAGAGAATCGGCCAGAATCTGGACGCCCTTGACCCGCGGGGCGTTCTACGGCGCGGCTACAGTCTGGCGCTGGACTCCGGAGGACGCGCGCTCGTTTCCACGAAGACCGTACGCGTTGGCGATCGGCTACGGTTGCTGCTCGGGGAGGGTGAACTCGGCGCGGCGGTCGAGGAAGTGCGCCCCCCGCACGAACAAGCGGGCACCGGTCCCGCAGCACCCCGTTCCGCGGGGCAGAATCCCGAAGGAAACCCGTCATGACCGAATCCGGCAGTACCGCCCCGCCGCCGGAACCCAGCTTCGAGTCGGTGGAGGCCGAACTGAAGGCGGTGACCGCGCAGCTCGAAGACCCGGCCGTCGCGCTCCAGGAACGATTGCAGCTCCATGCTCGCGCGGTCTCCATGCACAAGCGACTCGAAGCCATCGTGGAAGCGGCCCGCAAGGCGACCAGCGAGGCGGCGAATAACGCCGCGAACGACGCCCCGAACGAGGCCGGCCCGCCGGGACTGCCGGGACCCCTCGCCGGCGAAGGCGCCAAGGAGCCGTACGAAGCGGTACGGGACCGGCTGGCCGAGGTCGTGAACGCCCTCGAGAGCGAGAATCTGCCGCTGGCGCGCGTCATCGACCTCCACGGGGAGGCTCAGCGGCTGGCAGCCCGCTGCGAAGCGATTCTCGGCGCCGCCCAGGAGCAGATCACCCAGACCGGGGCCACCTCCGGCGCCACCTCCGACGCCGGCCCCGGCGGCGCCCCGCCAGCGGCCCAGCGGGCGGGGGAAGACCCCGGCTCCGATGCTCCTTTCTGACGCCGGCAGCCCGGCGGCGGTGCGGCCCGTCGGTCTGGGGGATTTCCTCGCCGACTGCGCGCGGGAGGTGGACGTCTTTCTCGATGGCGTGCTCCCACCGGCGACCGGCCCTACGGCAACGCTCGCCGGCGCCATGCGCCATGCCGTCCTCGGCGGGGGAAAACGAATCCGGCCGGCGCTCGCGATGGCGTCGGCGATCGCGGTGGGCGGGAGGAGCCACGACGCCCTCCCGGTGGCCGGCGCGCTCGAGATGGTTCACACCTACTCGCTGATCCACGACGATCTGCCGTGCATGGACGACGACGACCTGAGGCGCGGACAGCCGACGGTCCACGTCCGGTTCGGCGAGGCGATCGCCGTACTCGCCGGAGACGCGCTGCACACCCTCGCCTTCGACACCATCGCCGGCAGCGACGCGCCGCCGGAGATGCGGCTCGAGTGTGTGAAGCGTCTGGCCGTCGCCGCCGGGCCCGACGGCATGGTGGGCGGCCAGGTTCTCGACCTGGAGGCGGAAACCCGAACCCCCGACGCCCGGGGGCTGGAAGCGATTCACCGGGGGAAGACCGGAGCGCTCATCTCCGCATCGGTTGCCCTGGGTGCGCTGGCCGGGGGAGGCACCAGCTGGCAGGCGGATACCCTCGGGGGTTTCGGGCAGGAACTCGGACTCGTGTTTCAGATCGTGGATGACCTGCTGGACGAAGAGCAAACCAGCGCCCGGCTCGGCAAGTCGGCCGGCAAGGATCGAGCGGCCGGGAAGGCCACCTATCCGGCGATCCATGGGTTGGAAGCGGCCCGCGCGGAGGCGTCCCGCCACGCAGCGATGGCCCGCAGTCTTCTGGAGGCGGCTGGCGCCGGACCGGGACCACCCGTAAATTCCACCGGAGTCCATCTCCTCCGGTTGTTGACGGACCGCATCCTCCACCGAACGGCCTGACTCCCCTCCTGACTCCCCTGACTCCCCTGCCGATGCCCCCAGCCGCCGCCGCGCGCCGCAACTCCCGTTCCCGCCGGCGTGGCGCCGTCGACTCGAAAGCCCGGTCTTTCGTTCCTCCGGCAGGAAGGGGCCTTCGCGTCGGGATCGTCGCCAAGATTGCGGCACCCGAAACTGCCGAGACGACGCGCGGGCTGACCCGCTGGCTTCGGAGCCAAGGCGCGAACGTCACGCTGGAGGAAAAACTCGCGGAGTCGATCGGCGGCGACGGAGCCTCGGTTCCGCTCCCAGCGATCGGGCAGGACCGGGACATGGTGCTGGTTCTCGGCGGTGACGGCACCCTCCTCTCGGCGGCGCGCGCGCTGGGCGACCACCAGGTCCCGATCTTCGGCGTCAATCTGGGGAGCCTCGGCTTCCTCACCAACGCGCCGATTGACCAGTTGTACCCGGGACTGGAAAAGATCCTGGCGGGCCAGGGAGTTGTGGACGAACGCACGACGCTGCGAATCTCCCTCCTCCGCGAGGGCGAGACCCTGCAGGAGGAGATGTCCGTGAATGACGTGGTCATCACCGGAAGCTCGATCGCCCGCGTGCTCGAGGTACGCATCACCACCGCCCATGGCTTCGTTGCCACCGTGCTCGGCGACGGCGTCATCATCGCGACTCCGACCGGATCCACCGCTTACAACATCGGGGCCGGGGGACCGGTGGTTCATCCCGCCGTCGAGGCGATCATTCTGGCCCCCATCGTGCCGCTGACCCTGACCCAGCGGCCGGTCGTCTTCCCGGACACCGAGGAGTTGACCCTGACGCTGCGGGGCCGTCGCCGGCAGGTCCACGTGACCTTCGACGGGCAGGCGAGCTATCCCATGCTCCCCGGGGACGCCCTGAGAGTCCGCAAGTCCGATGTCCGGATGCAGCTTCTCAGCCTGCCCGAAACGAACTACTTCCGGGTGCTCCGCAAGAAACTGCTCTGGAGCGCCCTGCCCCCGAAACGCGCCCGGGCGCTCGTACCCGAACCCCCGACCGAATCCTGACGCCCGAATCCTGACGCTCGATTCCTGAAGCCCGCTGAGCCGGCCCCGGGGAAAGTCGGCGCGCCATCTGCTCCACCGGCGAAGAGAGTTTCGCCCGCTGTGCGGGCGATGCTGGCCAGTTCTCCCGGTGGGGGCGTGAACACCGGCGCTCCACGTCAGTGTTCGAGGCGGTTGATTACCCGGAAGACCCCTGGCGTGCTGCGGGCGATGGACTCGAGCATCCGGGATTCGATCGCGCTCCGGACCACTCCGGTAAGCGCCACCACCCCCCGCGAAACCACGATGTGGATCGGGGGATTCACCCGGTTGGCCCGATCCGAGAAGCGGGGGTCCCGGTAGATCCGGTAGTAGAGGGCGCGGCGAAGATCCTGATCGTTCGGAGAGAGCGGGAGAACCTCGATCCGGTTGTCCACGCTCTTCACTCCAAAGACCTTGGAGACGCGTTTCTCGAGCTCGGTCTTCTTGAAGGGTTCGGTCACCGACCCCAGCAGGACGATCTCGTACGCCTCTTCCATCCCGAAGTTGATGTCGTCGAAAACCGTGTAGTACGAATAGCGGAGCACGGCGCGCCGGACCCCTTCGACGAGGTCCTCCATGCTCTCCGGCTCGGCGACTTCGAGATCCGGATCTACTGCCGCCACTCCGGAAACCGATTCGGCGCGCTCGACGACGTCGCGCCACTCCCACGCGCTCGCGACCTGCCCGGTGAGCTGGACGACCCCGTCCGTCACGGTGACCCGGGGATCGCCGCCTTCGAGATCCGCCCGCTCGATCTCTCGCACCACATCGGCCTCGACGGCCTCATCGGCGCGCGATGCGGTCCTGGCGGCCGGCGGGGGTGATGGAGCGCGAGCGGCCTCCTCCTCCTCAGCTTCTGCCGCGGGCGCCTCGGAGGCGGCTCCCTCGGCCTCCGCATCCTCCGGCTCTTCCGTCTGCAGCACGGCGATGTCCGTTTCGACCGCAACCACCCCGTCCACGAAGAGCGCCAGCTCCACCACCCGCGTCCGCGTGCTCTCGTACAGCACTTCGCCGCTCAGCACGGCAACTCCGTCACTTACCTCCACGTCGAAAATGCCGATCGGCAGATTCGCCTCTTCGATCGCCGACGCGATCTCGTCTCGCAGGTTCGTGTCGGAGCGGGGCTGAGCGGGAGCCGGAGCTGCCATCAGCAGGGAAAGAACGAACGGAACGACGATATGCATGGATTTGTTGACCTGATTGTGGCCGGTCTCTACCAAAATGCAACCGCCATGCCGCCTGGAGCGCCGGTCTTCAGACCGGCATCGCCCGCCCGCAGGGCGGGTGAAACTCCCGTCGTCCGTCCGCTAGCAGCCTGTGGTGAAACTCACGTGAGCGCCGAGGTCGGTGAGGCGCCCGTCCGACGAGGCGCGTGAGGGAGGAATACCTGGTGTATTTCGACCGAAACGCAACGAAGAACGGAGCGAAGCGGAGTGGTTCGGGCGGGATGCATCGCCGGCCGAACGCCGCGTGGGTTTTGCCACAGGCTGCTGGGGGCGAGACGTCAGAGATGGCGCGCCAGCCGCCCGGAGCTATTCGTTCTGGTACGCACCGGCGTAGGTCCGCTCGGCCGGCGCCGCCAACTGGAAGAACACCAGTTGGAGGACGCGGGCGTCGCGGATGAGTTCCAGTCCGTCGGGATGGTGGACGGTCAGGAGGGAACCGCTGCGTCCTCGGTACCCCGAGTCCCATAGCGCGGTGCCGATCTGCGCTCCGCTTCTGAGCAACGACGACCGGGTGCGTCCGATGGCGAAGACGTCCGGCGGGATGTTCACCACTTCGTGGTAGCGAATCCAGTAAGGCCCGGCGGGGAGCCGGAAGACGCCGTCGCCATCGGGCGAGAGCGGTTCCGGCGCCGGAATGCGGCGGCGGCGGTTGTCGAAATCCACCCGGCCCGGACCTCTCCCGAAGAGGCTCACCTCGGCGAGGGTGAGATCCACTCCGTTCATCTGGATCTGCACCTCCGGATCCACGAGGCCGGAGAGCAGCGGCGGATCGTCGGCGAGCCGGCGCCGGAGAGCGGCGCCCGCGATCAGCTCCATGGCGCTGTTAGCAGCCTGTGGTGGAACCCGGGTGAGCGCCGAGGCTGGCGAGGCCCAGTTCTCCCGGTGGGGGTCCGGCTGACAAGGCGCGTGAGGGAGGAATACCTGGTGTATTTCGACCGAAGCGCAACGCAGAACACCAGTTCTCCCGGTGGGGGGGCGAAGCGGAGTGGTGAACAGCCGGTGGTGGAACCCGCGTGAGCGCCGAGGCCGGCGAGGCGCCCGGCTGGCAAGGCGCGTGAGGGAGGAATACCGAGTGTATTCCGACCGAAACGCAACGATGAGCGGCGCGCAGCGACGCGGTCCAGCCGGGATGGATCGCCGGCCGAACGCCGCGTGGGCTCCGCCACCGGCTGTTTGGCCGGGATGGATCGCCGGGCGAGCCCCCACCGGGAGAACTGGGCCACCTGGGTTTCATCACAGGCTGCTAGCTAAGAACCGGTGCCGGAACCGGAGCCCCGGCCGAGGATGGTGGGCAGGGTGATGCGTTGCTGCCCCTGGTACTTCCCCTTCTTGTCCCGGTAGCTGACCTCGCACTCCTCGTCGCTCTCGAAAAAGAGCACCTGCGCGATCCCCTCCCCGGCATAGATGCGGCACGGGAGCGGGGTCGTGTTCGAGATCTCGAGCGTCGCGTTCCCTTCCCACTCGGCGTCGAACCCGGTCACGTTGATGATGATGCCGCAACGCGCGTAGGTGGACTTGCCGATGCAGATGCCGTAGACGTTCCGCGGCATCCGGAAGTTCTCGATCGTGTTGGAGAGTGCGAAGGAGTTGGGCGGGATGACGCACACCTCGCCCTTGTAGTCCACGAAGCTCCGCTCGTCGAAGTTCTTCGGGTCCACGATCGTGGTGTAAACGTTCGTGAAGATCTTGAACTCGTTGGAGACGCGGATGTCGTAGCCGTAGGCGGACAGCCCGTAGGAGATGACCCCCTGCCCGACCTGATGGTCCACGAACGGATCGATCAGCCGGTGCTCTTTCGACATCCGGCGGATCCAGCGATCCGGCTTGATGCTCGCCAGTTTCGATTTCCTCCGTCCGGCGTCAGCCCAATTCGACACCGGGGAAAAAGTAACCGAGTTCGAAGGCGGCCGATTCCGGCGAATCCGAACCATGGATCGCATTGCGTTCGATGGAGGAGGCGAAGCGCGCCCGGACGGTGCCGGGAGCCGCGTCGGCCGGGTTCGTGGCGCCCATCAAGCGCCGCAGTTCGCGGATCGCATCGTCGCGCTCGAGAGCCACGACGACCGCCGGGCCCGAGGACATGAAATCAGTGAGGCTCGAGAAGAACGGCCGCTCGCGGTGGACGCCGTAGAACCCTTCCGCCTCGGCCTTGGTCATCCGGACGAGGCGCAGGGCGACCAGCCGGAAACCGGCCGCTTCCAGCGACTGCAGGATGGCCCCGGTGTTTCCGGCCGCGACCGCGTCGGGTTTCACGATGGAAAAGGTTCTCATGATCTTCTCTTCCCGCTCGCGAACTACCCGCGAAGCTGGGACTCCATGGCGGCGCCGAGATCGGCGGGGCTCTCGACGACCGTGCAACCGGCCGAACGCAGCGCCTCCATCTTGTCCGCGGCGGTTCCCTTGCCGCCCATGACGATCGCTCCGGCGTGACCCATCCTCCGTCCCGGAGGGGCGGTCTGGCCGGCGATGAAGCTGACGACCGGCTTTTTCAGTTCGCGCCGGATGAACTCCGCGGCTTCTTCCTCGGCGCCCCCGCCGATCTCGCCGATCAGGATGACCGCCTCGGTCTCGTCATCCGCGGCGAAGAGCTCGAGCACATCCACGAAGTAGGTGCCGATGACCGGATCGCCGCCGATCCCGACGCAGGTGCTCTGGCCGATGCCGCGCTGACTGAGCTGATGCACCGCCTCGTAGGTGAGCGTCCCGCTCCGGGAGACGACCCCGACGTGGCCCTCCCGGTGGATGAATCCCGGCATGATGCCGACCTTGGCCTTCCCCGGAGAAATGACTCCCGGGCAGTTCGGGCCGAGAATCCGGGTGCCGCCCGGCGGGACGGCGCGCATCACCCGGACCATGTCCCGGGTCGGGACGCCCTCGGTGATGCTTACCGCCAGCTCGAGTCCGGCATCGACCGATTCGGAGAGGGCATCCGCGGCGAAGGCCGGCGGGACGACCACGAACGAGGTGTTGGCGCCGGTTGCCGCCACCGCCTCGGCCACCGTGTCGAAGATCGGCACGCCGGCGGCGGCGGTCGCTCCCCCCTTCCCGGGAGTGACTCCCGCGACCAGCGTCGTCCCGTAGTCGCGGCAGGCCCCGGCGTGGAACGCTCCTTCGCGCCCGGTGATTCCCTGCACGAGCAGGCGGGTCTCGTTACCCACCAGAACGCTCATGCGGCCTCCACGTCTAGTTTCTGCACGACCTGGTTCGCCGCGTCGCGCATGCCGTCCGCGGTGGTGAAGTCGAGCCCCGACTCCTCGAGCATCCGGCGGGCGAGTTCCACATTCGTGCCTTCCATGCGGATCACGATCGGAAGACTCACGCCGAGCTTCCGGACGGCCGCGATGACGCCCTCCGCGAGCCGGTCGCAGCGCAGGATGCCCCCGAAGATGTTGATCAGCACCACCCGCACCGCGGGGTCCGAGGAGAGGATGCGGAAGGCGTTTTCGATCTGCTCGGCGCTGGCTCCGCCCCCGACGTCGAGGAAGTTCGCGGGCGACGCGCCGGCCAGCTTCACGATGTCCATGGTCGCCATCGCGAGGCCGGCGCCGTTCACCATGCAGCCCACCGAGCCGTCGAGCTTGATGTAGCTGAGGCGGTACTTGCTGGCCTCGACCTCGAGCGGCGACTCCTCGTGGGTGTCGCGGAGCGCGGCGACCTTGGGCTGGCGGAAGAGCGCGCTGTCGTCCACCGAGACCTTGGCGTCGAGCGCCAGTACCTCGCCGCCCTCGGTCACCAGCATCGGGTTGATCTCGACCTGGCTGGCGTCGAGTCCCTCGAAGGCGCGGTAGAGCGCCGTCAGGAACTTCGTGCCGTTCTTGAAGACCTGCCCCTCGAACCCCAGCCCGAATGCCAGGCGGCGCGCCTGGAAGGGCTGCATTCCCATCGCCGGGTCCACGGTCACGGTCAGGATCTTCTCGGGCGACTCGGCCGCCACTTCCTCGATGTCCATTCCCCCGGCGGCGCTCGCGATGCACAGCGGGCGGCCGGTCGAGCGGTCGATGATGAAGCTGACGTAGAGCTCCCGGGCGATCGCGACGCCTTCCTCGACCAGGAGCCGGCGCACGAGCCGGCCCTCGGGTCCGGTCTGCTTCGTCACCAGGGTGGCGCCGAGGATCGCGTCCGCGGCGGCCCGCACCTCCGCTTCGGTCCGGGCGAGGCGCACCCCGCCGGCCTTTCCCCGGCCGCCGGCGTGGATCTGGGCCTTCACCACCACCGGGAGGCCGAGTTCCGAGGCGGCGGCAACCGCTTCGTCCACGCTGTACGCGACCTTGCCCCGCGGGACGGGGACGCCGTACTCGGCGAGGAGCCCCTTCGCCTGGTGCTCGTGAAGATTCATCTGTCGAGTCGCGCGGTCGCCGGGCGGCGGCGCGGCTGGGAGCGATGGTCCTCGCGGATTCGTGACGCCGGTATCGCCGCCCGGCGCCCGCCCGACCTCGACGACGACCGTCGTGAAGCAAGCTTCCCGACGGACGCCGTTTCTCTTGAAAGGGGGCTCCGCACGCTCCGCCCCCTCTCAAACTCTCCCCCGCGTGGCCTACGCATTCGGCAACGGCCGAACCCAGCTCCGGGAAGACGGACGGTGCTGCACCGGCCGAGCGGATCCGCCATCGTCACACGCCGATCTTTTCGGTGAGCTCGCGGACCGCGGCGGCGGACCGGTCGAGCGCGGCCTGCTCGTCCGGGGTGAGCTTGATCTCGATGACCTCTTCGACGCCCGAGCGTCCGAGCTTGACCGGCACCCCCAGAGAGAGGCCGTCGACGCCGTACTCGCCCTCCAGATAGGCCGTGCAGGGAAGGATCTTCTTCTTGTCCTTGAGGATGGCGTCCACCATCTCGACGATGGCCGCCGAGGGGGCGTAGTAGGCCGATCCGGTCTTCAGGTAGGCCACGATCTCGCCGCCGCCCTTCCGGGTCCGCTCGACGATCCGGGCGATGGCTTCTTCGGACATGAAGTCCGGGAGCGGAATCCCGGCGACCGTGGAGTAGCGCGGCAGCGGCACCATGTCATCCCCGTGCCCGCCGAGCACGAAGGCGTGGACGTTGTCGACCGAGACGTTCACTTCGGCGGCGATAAACGCCCGCATGCGCGCCGAATCGAGAACCCCCGCCATCCCGACCACCCGCGCCTTCGGCAGGCCGCTGGCCCTCAGCGCGGTCTGCACCATGGCGTCGAGGGGGTTCGAGACCACCACCAGGATGGCGTCCGGCGAATGCTCCATCGCCTGGCGGGTCACGCTGCTCACGATCTGGTAGTTCTTCCGGAGCAGGTCGTCCCGGCTCATCCCCGCCTTCCGGGGCAGCCCGGCGGTGATGACCACGACGTCGGACCCCGCGGTGTCCGCGTAGTCGCAGGTGCCGCTCACCTGGACGTCGCTGCCCGTCACCGGGCAGGCCTCCAGCATGTCGAGGCCCTTCCCCTGGGGAATGCCGTCGATGATGTCGATGAGAACGACATCGCACAGCTCGGCGTCGGCCAGCCGCTGGGCGGTGGTGGCGCCGACGTTGCCGGCGCCCACCACGGTCACTTTCGGTCGCATCTGCAACCCCCTTTTGCGGAATTCCTGCTCGTCGGGAACCCGCGGATCAGGCTCTGTTCGGGGCCATGTTCTCGATGATCGCGTCCGCGAACTCCGAGGTCTTGAGTTTGGTCGCGCCGTCCATCAGCCGGTGGAAGTCGTAGGTCACCCGCTTCTGGGCGATCGCGGCTTCCAGGGACCGCTCGATCAGGTCGGCGGCCTCCTCCCAGTTCAGATGACGGAACATCATCACCCCGGAGAGGATCACCGAACCGGGATTCACCTTGTCCTGGTCGGCGTACTTGGGCGCCGTCCCGTGGGTGGCCTCGAAGATGGCGTGGCCGGTGTCGTAGTTGATGTTTCCTCCGGGGGCGATGCCGATGCCGCCGATCTGGGCGGCGAGGGCGTCCGAGAGGTAGTCGCCGTTCAGGTTCATGGTGGCGATCACGTCGAACGAGCTCGCCCGGGTAAGGACCTGCTGCAGCGTGATGTCGGCGATCGCATCGCGGACCAGAACGCGGTTCTTCCACTGGCCGTTTCCGTGCGAATCCCACAGCTCGGACAAACAGCCCTCCACTTCGTCCCGGACCTCGGCCCGGCGCTCTTCGACCATCAGGTCGTAGCCCGGCTCGATGGCGCGGGCGTTGTCCACGGTGCTGATCCCGGAGCCCGATTCCCGGTTCGACAGGATCCAGCTCTCCCGCTCGCTCACCGTCTCGGCGCGGAACTCCCGCGCCGCGAGGGCGTAGCCCCAATCCCGGAAGGCGCCCTCGGTGAACTTCATGATGTTCCCCTTGTGGACCAGCGTGACGCTCCGCCGTCCCTGCGCGAGGGCGTAGCGGATCGCGGCGCGCACCAGGCGCTCGGTCCCCTCGCGGCTCACCGGCTTGATGCCGATGCCGGAGCTGTCGGGGAAGCGGATCTTCTTGACTCCCATCTCGTCGCGGAGGAAAGCGACGAGCTTTTTGACCTCTGGCGTTCCCTCGCGGTATTCGACGCCGGCGTAGATGTCCTCGCTGTTCTCCCGGAAGATGACCATGTCCACCTGATCCGGGCGGTACACCGGGCTCGGGACGCCCTGGTACCACTTCACCGGCCGCAGGCAGACGTAGAGGTCGAGGAGCTGCCGCAGCGCGACGTTGAGCGAGCGGATCCCGCCGCCCACCGGCGTGGTGAGGGGTCCCTTGATCCCGACCAGGTAGTCCCGGAAGGTCGCTACCGTCGCTTCGGGAAGCCAGTCGCCGGTCTCGTTGAAGGCCTTCTCGCCGGCCAGCACCTCGCGCCACTCGATGCGGCGCGCTCCGCCGTAGGCGACTTCGACGGCGGCGTCGAATACGCGGACACTGGCCCGCCAGATGTCCCGCCCGGTGCCGTCGCCCTCGATGAAGGGAATGATCGGGTGGTCGGGGACCTGGAGGAGCCCGTTCTGAATGGAAATGCGGCCGCCCTCGGGCGGCGTCGGGTGGGGTTCGGTGGTCATGAACTTCCTTCGGGAAAGGGGTTGCCGGGGAGAGTGCGCGGAACCACAACGGGTTCCCCCTCGCGCCGTTTGCCGCACGGAAAGACCCGGCCGGAGCGCCGCCGCATCACACGCGAGGCGGCCCAACATCCTGCCGGGACTGTGTTGAATTCTAGCAGCCCGTAGGCAAAGTGACGAGAGCACCGAGGCCGATGAGGCGCTCGGCTGACAAGGCGCGAGAGAGAGGAATACCGGGTGTATTTCGACCGAAACGCAACGACGAGCGGCGCGGTTCAGCCGGGATGAATCGGCCGGCATCCATGGCGGGAAGCCAGCGAGAGGGCAAGACCCCACCGTTTGCGCCGAATGAGGCACAATTGGCCCGCCTTCTCAACGCCTTGACGGCACGGGGAGGCCGTCCGGGGGGGGATGCCGGGCACTGATGTCGGGAAAGACTCCCGATACGGTCTGCGGTCGCTCACTGTCGGCCGTTACGGAGGAAACTGTGAAGAGAGCCATCGCCACCCTGATGTTGTTGTCGCTGGCGGCGGCCCTGTCCGGATTCGCGGTTTCCGCATGTCTGCGAGCGCCGCGATCACCGCCGCCTCCACCGCAGGAGCCGCCGCCGCCGGCACCCGTGCCGCCACCGGCGCCGCCTCCACCGCCACCGCCGCCGCCGCCCCCACCCGACGCGGTCGACATGGCATGCGACGAGGGCGCTGCGGCATCGCCGGATCTGTTCATCTCCATGCTCCGGCAGTGTGGCGATCGGGTCAACGTCATTGCGATCGGAGGCCCCGGGCGCTCGCTACCGGACGCGAGTCTCACTCGGGAGTTCGCACGGCTGCTGCGCGCCGAGACGCCCACCAACGTCCTGCATCTCGTCGCGTGGGGAAGCGAAGCCGCCGCGACGCCTTCCGGAGTGATGCAGCACCAGTTGGCGAACGTCCTGAGAAAGACCGCGGACAAGATCACCTTCGTTCTCTTGTCCGGTGGTGGAAACGATCTGGCTGGCGCGAATGCGCTGGACCCGCTCGTGCTCACGGCGGGCAGTGGCAAGGAGCCTCAGGACTATGTCGACGAGGAGCGGCTGGGAAGCACGCTCCAGCGAATCGAGCGGGCCTTCCGGGCGATTCTGGATGCCCGCGACGCCCATTCGCCGAATACCGTGGTGGTGAGTCCCGCATACGGCGACGCCGACACGTTCGGCCCCCGTATCCGCGCCGTCCTGGGAGAAAAAGCGATCCCGGCAGAGCATCGTGACGGGGTCCTGGAGTTGCTGTCCCGGAGGTTTGGCGAGGTCATCGTGCGCGCGACAACGGAAGGACCAGCCCATCGCCGCCGGGTCATCGTCGTGCCCAAGGAGGACCGGGTGACCGGGGACGAAGGGTCAGCGGAAATGCATCTCCCGGAGGCCGACGACGCCCAGGTCGCCCGCCGCATCTTCGCCACCGTCGCCGCGAGTGCCAGGGCCTGCTTGGGTCCGCCGGTGGGGCGGAAGGGACACGCCACTGCCAACTGCAGCCCTGACCCGGGTCCGGAACGGAGCCCGATAGGGCCGGCCGGGAAGGGCCGCCGACCTCCAGGTCGGCACGGTGGCGCGCAGGCAGGCGAACGGCGTCCTCCGACCGGCACCGCGGCCCGGAGGGCCGCGCATCCGCGTACCGCCGAACCGCGTGGAGAAGGGGAGGGGGAGCGCCGGTCTCCGACCGGCATCGCGCGAGAGCGCGAAACCAGCGTCGATCACGCCGCGCCATACCAACGTGCGGACCGCACCACCTTTGAGTCCCGAGCGCACAGCGACCGCTCGTCCCGCACCGCCGCTACAGACCGGACGCGACGGAGCGGCTCGACCGCATGCCGCATCGAAAGCGACAGCGCCGGGTAGACCGCAAACGACGCTCGGCCAGTCCCGCGGGGCCGGCACCGCTTGCGAAGCCCGCGGCGCCTCCCCGGCTACGGCGACATGTTCGCCTCCAGCCGATCCCGCTACAGCGACATGTTCCCCCGCAGATCCCGCTACTGCGACATGTTCGCCCCACCCGATCCCGCTACAGCGACATGTTCCCCAGCCGATCCGGTAGTGCGACATGTTCGCTCCAACCCGCCCCGCACAGCGACATGTTTCCCCGGCAGATCCGCTACTGCGACATGTTCGCCTCCACCCGATCCCGCTACAGCGACATGTTCCCCCGGCAGATCCGGCTACTGCGACATGTTCGGCCCCAACCGATCCCGCTAGAGCGACATGTTCCCCGGCAGATCCCGCTACTGCGACATGTTCGGCCCCACCCGATCCCGCTAGAGCGACATGTTCCCCGGCAGATCCCGCTAGCGACATGTTCCGATCCAGCCGACCCCGCTAGTGCGACATGTTCCCCCCGCAGATCCGGCTACTGCGACATGTTTCCCCAACCGATCCCGCTACAGCGACATGTTCCCCGGGCAGATCCGGTCAGAACAGCGCTATCGAAGTCTCCCAACAACACTGAGTCTCAGGCTATCTCTCGCAGATCTTCCGAAAGCGTGACTCGGCTTCCGGCCACGGGCCCCCTCAGCGCCCAGCAAAAAACCGCTGGATCCGCCCCAGGCCCTCGTCGATCACGTCGTCCGAAGTCGCATAGCTGAGCCGCAGGTGGGTGTCGTGGCCAAAAGCCACCCCCGGCACCGTCGCGACCCGCTCCTCGTCCAACAATGCGGCAGCAAGCGCCCCCGACCCCTCACCCGGCTTTAGCACCGCCTCGAAGGTCGGGAAGAGGTAGAAACCCCCGTCCGGCGCACCGCAGCGGACCCCCTCGATCGCAAGCAACCCGTCCCGCATCCGCACCATCCGCCGCGCGAACTCCTCGGTCATCCACGCGAAGCCGGCCGGGTCCGCCGTCACCGCGGCGAGCGCCGCCTTCTGGGAGATGGAGCTGGCGTTCGAGGTCATCTGGCTCTGCAGTGAAGCCGCGCCCTTGATGACCGGCTCCGGGCCGATCGCCCAGCCGAGCCGCCAGCCGGTCATCGCGTAGGTCTTGGAGGCGCCGCCGGCCACCAGGAACCGGTGCCCCAGGATGTCCTGCATCCGGCGGTAGGCCCCTTCCGGCGGAGGCTCGAACGTCAGCCGGGCGTAGGTGTCGTCCCAGAGGAGGTAGGCGTCGGCCTCGAGGGCCAGTTGCGCCACCTCTTCCAGCTCACGCGGCGAGAGCATCACCCCGGAGGGGTTTCCCGGGATGTTCAGGATGATGGCCCGGGTGCGGTCGGTCACCCCCGCCTCGATCACGGCCCGGGTGGGCCGAAACCAGGTGTCTTCCCCGGCCCGCGCCAGGACCGGGTCCGCGCCGACGATCTTGACCTGCTCGGGGAAGGTCGGCCAGTAGGGCGTGGGGATGACCACCTCGTCCCCTTCTTCGCAGGTGGCAAGCAACAACCCGGTGAGGGCGTGCTTGCCTCCGGAGGTGATCAGGACGTTGCCCGCTCCGAAGTCCAGATCGAAGTCGCGGCGGTAGCCTCGGCCACCGCGGCCCGCAGGTCGGGAGCGCCGGGGTTCGCGGTGTAGCGGGTATATCCCGACTCGATGGCGTGGATCCCCGCCTCTCGCGCCACCGACGGCGTGTCGAAGTCGGGCTGTCCCGCCGAGAAGTCCACCACGTTCTCTCCGGCGGCGCGCAGACGCATCGCCTCCGCCATCACCGCCATCGTGGGCGAAGGCGAGATCGCGCTGACCCGCGCAGCGAGATGGATTCCTGAATGGGTCATGAGGATCTTTCCGGGCCGCTCACCCGGTTTCGATAGATTCGGAGGAGGAAGCGAACTTTTCGACAAGACGGCCCGCCACCGCCTCCGGAACGAGACCGCTGACATCGCCGGAGAGCGCCGTGATCTCCTTGATCAGCCTCGAACTGACGTAGGAATACTCCTCCGCCGGAGTCAGGAAGACCGTCTCGACTTCCGGCGCCAGCCGGCGGTTCATGAGCGCCATCTGGAACTCGTACTCGAAATCGGAAACGGCCCGGATCCCGCGCACGATGGCGGTCGCGCCGCGACGGCGGGCATAGGCCACGAGCAGCCCCGAAAAGGCGTCCGCTTCCACCCCGGGATCGTCCGCAAAGGTCGCGCTAATGAACTCGAGCCGCTCCGGAACCGTGAAAAGCGGCGCCTTCCCGGTGTTGTGGAGCACCGCGACAATGACCCGGTCGAACTGCCGGGCGGCCCGCCGGATGATGTCCACGTGCCCCAGGGTCAGAGGGTCGAAAGAACCCGGGCAGATGGCCGTGCGGGAGGTTCTTTCCAAGGGCAGCGCCGGTCCGGGAGGCGCGCGCGAAACCTAGCATACGGCCCAGTCCGGGGATAGCGGTTCCGGGGATAGCCGGTTCCGGGGATAGCGGTTCCGGGGAATAGCGCCCCGCGGCCCGCTGACTTCCCGGAGCGTGGCCCTCCCCGGTGGCGCTCCAAACGGGCCCGGCGGACCATCCCCCGCGAGCTCTTTTCCGCGCGCCGAGCACGAGTTTTCCACATTCGGGCCGAATTCGGCCGCCGGATGGGAAAAAACCCGGCGCATTTTCGTCTAGGAAATTGTGCGCCGTTCCTCGACCGCCCCCTCCCGCCGGTACAGCGAGAACGCTCCATCTCCCGCGGTCGTGGTGCGGGTCTTCAGTCCCACGGGCAGAGATATCGCCGGGTTCGACTCGCCATCCGCGCCAGCCACCACCCGGAGCGGAGGCGCCCACGAACAACGGTGCTCCGCCACCACCAGGGGCGCGAGAGCGACGGCCTCGGCGAGCAGCGGGACCCCGGTTCCTGCCTCCCAGCTTTCCCACGGAGGATCCAGGAAGGCCACGTCGAATCCCCTCCCGGCGCGGCGAAGCCGGCGCAGTTCGCGAAGCGCATCCGCCACCACCAGCTTGAAGGTGTCCACGCCAAGGCGCTCGGCATTTCGTTCGATCAGCCGAGCCAGCCGCGGGGAACGCTCCACGAACACGCACTCCCGAGTGCCCCGGGAAATCGCCTCGAAGCCGAGCGTTCCCACCCCGGCGCAGATATCGAGCACCCGAGCCCCGACCAGTTCGTCGGCCAGCACCGTGAAGAGGCTTTTCCTGAGTCTCGCGGCCGTCGGCCGGGCTCCGTCCGCAGCGATGCCCCGTCGCCCTCCGGGACGCGGCGGCCCGCTCAGCACGCGGCCGGCGAGCGATCCGCCCGCGATCCGCACGCTCACCGGCGGACCTCCCACTTTCGCACCACAACCCGGTTCGTCCAGAGCCCCATCCCGTTCTTCCAGGAGCCATCATGCCAATTCCCCTGCCCGTTTCCCTGCCCGTTCCTGATCCCGCCCGGAACCAAGCCGGACGCGATCCGAATGCCATCGAGACTCCCCGCGTCCGCCGGGCGCGGCTGCCGGCCACTTTCGCGAGCCGCTCGGAACTCCGGCCCGCGGTGGCGGTCTCCGCCGAAATCGCGGCGGACGGGAAGGGCGGCGAGTTCGACCGCTCCCGGGAGCAGGTTCTTCGCTGGCTGGAGGCGCATGTGGGCCCCCTGCCCCCCGCATTCGACGGGGTTTCCCGTCCGGACGGCCAAAGGCTGCATGTCGAGCAACATCGATCGGCTGGCGCCATCGTACGAGCCGTCGACCGGGAAGCGGGGGCGAGTCGATATTTCGGCGTGTCGCTCGAGGCAGGCGCCTTCGCCGGACTGGCCGCCTGGAAGGCGGTCGTCATCCTCTTTCGTTCGGGATCGACGAGCTACCTCCGCACCACGCTCCTCGCGCCCCAGCGCCGCCTTCGCGAACGGACGGCCCCGCTGTGGGTACCCGGGATCGTGCGCTGGCTGACCCGTTCCCCGGGACTGTCGGACTACGGCTGGCGTCTGCTGCCCGCCCCGGGATCATCCAGAACGAGGAAGGCGTGGAGAGGGGTGATCGCCACTCATCGGGAGCGGGCGCCGGACCCGCCCAATTTTCGCCATCGGACTGGGTCCCGGGGAAACGAATCCGGAATCGGCCCCGCTGGATGCGTGGGATCTCGCGCACCGGACGGTCGGGCTTGCCCATGTGGCCGTTCTGACCGGCCCCATGACGTACGCGCTGACCGACCGCGTCGGGCGGAAATACAGCGTCTTCGGAAACGCCCTCCGCACCTACCGGCCAGGCTGTGTGATCGGTGATCGGGCGATGGAACACCCGATGGCGCTCCCCGAAACCGTGCGGCGTTGGCGCAACGGCGGCCCGCACGAGTTCGCACCGGATATTTCTCCTCAACCCGCGATGGCCGCCCCTAGGGCCACGCCAGTGACATCACCAAATGGAGCACAAATCGGGCACAGATTCGGACTTTCCGAAGCGGTCGAGTACCGCAACGCACGACATGGATGGTTGTCTCGCAGCGCCAGAGAACCCGTATTCGGAACGCGCTGAACTCACCGCAAGACAGACCGATGCGACGCGTCCACTCCGCTGGGAGCGGGAGACGACACGGCGCCACCGGAAGTCGAACAACCGGCGGAAGCGCCGATTCCTAAGGCTCGGCGCGAGTGTTGAAGCATGCGTCGGCGCAAGCAATCGTCGTAAGAAACCCAAACCGAACGTCGAATATCTCGCCGGGTCTATCACGTCTCCTGCTGATTTTAGCAGCACTGTGGATGGAGAACACACGAGTGAAGCGCCTAGGCGACGAGAGGCGGCGTAGATGCAGCACGTGACCTACGCATGACGTGCGCGAATACCTGGTGTATTTCGACGAACGACGCAACACGTAAGAACGGAGCGAAGCGGAGTGAGTCCAGTCAGGCGGGATGCATCGCTCGATCACGAACGCCGCTGGGTTTGCACACCCTACAGATGGGCTGTTTTGCGCTTAGCATGCGCCTCATCGCAGCGGAGACCGCGCCCAATGAGTGAGTCGTCAGATAGGAGGAACGTCACAGCTGACAGCACAGTTGTCCCGAACGTGAACTAGGGGAACACTGAATGTTGCGATGTGTACTACACGAGACGACGAGCATCCAACGACCCGATGCCGAAGCATGGAGAGCAGCCGGAGAGCGGAATCACGACGTAGTTGAGGGGACCGGGTAGCCTCAGGATGGAGAAGGAGCTCTCGGATCGAATCGAATACGGCGGATGGAGAGAATTTGTCAGAACGGATCACGCGACTGGAGACCGCGATGGAGGCTTCCACGGAATGTACCACGGGGCCCGCAGGCGCCGGCAATACAGGCCCGATAGACCCAGAGCAAGTACTTTACAAAACCGTCGGCGCTCGTCTCGCACGCCTGCGGCGGCGATGCCGGTCTGAGAGAGCCCCACCGGGAGAGATGCCCTCATGATCGGGCGTGATCCCCGCTGCACCCGCCTCGCACGCTCATGCGAAGACGGCCCACCTTGAAACGGCGCAACGTCATGGGCGCTCGTTTCGCGCTCCCGCGCGATGCCGGCCAGAGGCCGGCGGTACCAAGGCCGTCCCCGCGCATTCTTCACACGGCGGTACAGAGCGTCTCGCGGACGCACAGTAGGGACGCGCTGGTGCCGGTGTGAACAACCGACAGAAGGCCTGACGCCGCCCTCATCACCCAGCCGGCGTGAGACCGAGCGACGGCTCGCCCAGGCGCGCCCGGACGTGGTCGAGGATTGGCGCTCCCATCCGCCGTTTCAGAGCCGGAGACGCCCGGAAAAGCGCTCGATCACTTTCCATGCGGGCGAGTGCGTAGAAGTCGCATCCCGGATGATCGGGTACGGCGGAACGAGCGGATCCCCGACTGCAGGGTGACCGAGAAAGATCTCCGGAGCCGCGATCGCGACGATCCTCCTCGGCGATCCGGAAGCGTCGGTGTGTTTCACATCGCGCACGCACCTTCAGCGCGAAGAATCGCCAAGTACGAGGCATCGGCTTCCCGCTCACACCACCAGGCGATCGCAGGTGGCAGGTGATCAGGCCACATTCTCCCGACCCGCCGCGGAGCTGGTGCAACTGCGCGAGTGCCGAAACGCTCGATGCGTGTTCCACCACAAACTAATCACCGTGGCGGATCGGAACATCCGAATCCACTACCTCGATCACACCGTCGTCGCGC